CAAGTTCCAAGTCAGGGAGCCAGCACCAATCTACAGATGTTAAAGGTTTGAAAACCAGCGGTGCTGTGGTGCCCGTGCTATCCTGAGCTGGTCATCTCCAGCCACGGTGAGGCCAGAACCACCATCAAGGACGCTGCATCAACCCCAAAGACCCAATATCTGCAGAGTTCTCTGCATCAGAGCTCCAGCCCCGGCAACATCGCTGCATTTTCCTTCTTTATTTTACATCAACTGAGTGAAACGGTAAGTGCTCTTTGTGTCTGGTTTCTACAACCTAACGTAACATTCTCGGGGGCTCACTAAGCTTGTGTCTATGACAAAGGCACCTTGCCTCTGGGTGCTGCAGATACCCCACGACCTGGTCTCACTGCCCCCTTCCACTCATGCAGTGATGGCATTTGGAGTGTCCAACTATGGGATAGCAGGAGTAAGCCTGCCAGGAGCACTTGTACACAGGAGTTTGTGGGAACATGCGCTTCACTTCTCCTGGGTATGTAACAAGGGGAGAATTTCTGGGTTATCTGGAAATCATGATTAACGTTTGAGAGGCCGGCAAGCTGCTCTCCAAGGGGCGGCACCTTCTTCCCCTCATACTGACCCACCTGGTTGGGAATGTATCTACCCCCTCAGCCCACACTCATATGTTCCTGCCTTCTCTTTCATCCTTGCTGTGGGTATGAAGTGATCTGTCGAGGTGATTTTGATTTGCATTTCCCTAGTCAATCATGTGGAGCCCTGTAAGATAATACTGACTTGTCCTTCCTCCGCCCTTTATTCTCTGCCGCGAGTATTTTACTGGGTTACACCCATCACAGTGCTCCCAAGGTACTCCCATTCCTCTGTGTTTATCTTTAACTTCTCCTCTGTGCTCATCTTCCCCCATCTGTTGATCCCTATATCCCTAAGTCAGACCCTGTGACTTGTAAGGTCAGATCTTCTAAGGACTCTGGACCTTGTATTTGTAAGGGAAATACTTTTCTCTTTCCCTTTTTGCATACTTCACTTGAGAGTAATGTCCCTTTTGTGTAGACACAGGAAGACAGTTAATGCTGTGCTCTTGTAACTTGGGAGTTAATTGACTCCGAATAATATTTACCCCTGGGCATCTGTCATGTTCCCTAGAATTAAGCCTCAGTTTCCCTTAGTTTCCAACACCCCAAAAGGAGGTTTCCAACGAAGGAACTCCAGGACAAGCTGTGAGCTACTCTGGCATCAAGAAGGGACAGGTCAAGTGCCATGCAACTTATAATTTATGATCCTGGTCATGGACCAACTCTGTCATGACCCAAAGAGACAAGGATCCTGCTGGGGTCAAGAAGAACTAACCTGGCCTGAGGACTGTAGTCTGGGATCTATAGTGAAGAGTCATCCTTTTAAATATATCTCTTACTGTGTCAATACGGGCTGGAGCAATAGCACAGTGGGTAGGGCGTTTGCCTTGCATGCAGCCAGCCTGGCCAAGCCGGGTTCGAGTCTTCTGCCCCTCTGCCCCTCTCGGAGAGCCCGGCAAGCTACTGAGAGTATCTCGTCCACACGGCAAAGCCTGGCAAGCTACCCATGATGTATTTGATATGTCCTAGAAGCTACCCCCAAGGGAAGGACTTTACATCTGTTGATGATACAACCACGCCCATGTGTTTTTGCTACACCGAACTCTGGGGGGTGGAGTGGATGAGACTGGGCGCGGGGAGACCAGCATGAGGGACAGTAAGAGATGGGAGTGACGGGCAGGGGAAACTGAGACCGGGCATGGGAAGACTAGAACAAGGGCCTAGAAGAGGAGGAGACCAGCATGCGGGACTGTGGGGGACTGGGGGCGGAGGGAGGTGAGCCAGGAACCGAGATGAGATCGGAATAATCAGAGACTGACCACCAGTGTGGCTGCCGTGTTTCCTCCTCATGTGTTTTCTGGTGGCTGTGGCCAGTGGGGTGGTGGGGGGAAGGGTCTCCTGACCATGGAATGCACACAGCACGAGCCCACACACTTTTGGGAACACACAAACCCCTTTACACGTGCTTGCCAAGGACGTATATATCCTCTTTGGATAGATACCTGTTCAAGTTCTTCATTGATTTTCAATTAGGTGCTCCTTCTTTTTATTACCAAGTTTAAGTATTCTTTTGCTATGAGAGTCTTATCACATAAATGAGTTCAAAATACTCTCTTCTAGGTGGGAATTTATTTTTTTACGTGTCCTTTTAAGCAAAAATTTCTGATGCCTGATTTATCTGTCGTTGTAGTTGCTGCTGCTTATAGTTTTGGTGCCCTGGCCAGGAGTCGGTCCAGGGCCAAGGTCACCGAGGAGGGGTCTGCTGAGAAGCCATCCCTCTAGCGATGTCCACCCCACCCATGCCCCTCGCTCAGTGCTCTCTCCATCTCATTCTGTAACAAACCCTCTCCTTGGGGACGGCATCCTGTGTACCCTGTCCCTGACCCACCACTCCTGCCCACCTTGCCCTTATGTGCCTGTTTCTCTGCATGTGGCGTCCTCACCTGATGCACCTCATCCTGCTGCCGCACGCCCTCGGCCACCATCTTCCACACTGGTGCCCCTTTACCACACCTCCCCAGCCTTTCCACGTTGGAGTCCACCACAGCGGTGCCAAAGCCCTTGCTCCCCCCTCCGCAGCCTTTCCACACTGGGGTCCACTCGCGTCCTCCCCTTCCCCGGCCTCCCACACTGGAGCCCCCACGCTGGGGTCCACTCCAAGATCAGAGCTCCTGGCTTCCAGCTCTGCTCTGTGGCTACCACAGGGCCAGCTCGTGAGCAGAGGAACTGAGGGTGGGGGGAAGCCAGGCTGCGGGTTGAAACCAGGAGCCGTGGCGTCTGGCCAGGCCCGGGAGGTGACTGGGACAGCTGGACTTCTGCAGCGCCTGCTCATCTGGTGCCCACTTGGCCGAGACACGGGATGGCAGATACTGGCTACCCCTGAGTCTGGGGCATCTGCGATGGAGATCAACACCTGAACCGAAGAAGCAGTAGGCGCTGTGCAGGCGGGCGGCACTGTGGTAGGCGGGGAAGGGAGTTTGCTCTGCCGCCTCAGTCCCCTGCCCAGCTGCGCCCGTGCCTCGGGGATCCCCCTTCCTCGGTCTTCAGCAGGGAAGCAGCTCTGAAGCCACCGGCACCCTGAGTCTCCTCACAGGTGGAAGAAAGATTATGGGGTCTCTCAGCCTTGGCACCGGCATGAACGATGCCTTACCCGAATGCTGTGTGTGCGTACGTGCGTGTGTGTGTGCGTGCATGTGTGTGTGCATGTGTGCATGCATGTGTGTGCCTGTGCGTGTGTGTGCGTGCATGCGTGTGCGTGTGTGTGCGTGTGTGCATAGGTGCATGTGTGCGTGTGTGCGTGTGCGGGCAGCAGTGGCACACACGTGAATGCACGTTCACTGGTGTACCGACTGGCTTCTCCCTGGAGACGCCTGTGAGATGCGCATGGATCAAGAGTCTGAGTGTGCTGGAGGGGTGGCGTCTTCATCTCCTCCTCAGCGGCCTTCTGAGGGGCTGTGAGCACTGCCTCTGGAGCAAGCGCGTGCACTGACACCATGTGGGAAGACTCTGTGAAAGTCAGCTCCGTGTCACCCACTGCCTGCCCTCGGCCCCACGCACCCTGCTTCAAGAAACGGAAGTTGTGCGGCCGCAGAATGTGAGATCCAGAAGAGGCAGGTCCGGAAGAGGCACAGACGGCTAGCCCTATGCCCGGGGAGGAGGGAGGGAGGTGACAGTGTCCCTGGAACTGGAGAGGCGCCGAGTTCCTAGAGTGGTTGGCGCAGGACAACTCGCTTGTCCCGTTCAGGCAAAGCCTCTCACTTCCCCGGGCCGCAATCAGGCAAGTCCAGAAGCTTCCTGGTCTCCTTCCCTCCGTGTCTGGCTGTGACTGACGGGCGTGGGGACCCCTGGGTGACAGTTGGGGTGGGGGCTTCAGGAGCAGGAGCGAGGACCCCCGATGTGCTCTCATGCACTGTGCTCCAGCCTCCGTCCTCAGGCTGGCCAGGGCGTCTGTGTGCAGGCACCGGCTGGCCGCACACAGCACCCAGCGAGGTGCCCTCCCCTGCCTGCTCAGAGTCCTCTTGCCTTGCTGGGGTCTGCCCCGGGGTGCTGTCGTGTCCCCCCATCACCCTCATGCTCCCACCTCCCCTCACCATGCAAGACTGAGCTGAGGCTGGACCCTCCCTCCCCGCCCTTAGCTGTTTCTACAGTCTGAGTGGTCGCACGTTATCCAAAGGAGGCGCTTCTGAGGTGGCCAGTCGGAGGCCATGATCATCCGGCCACTCCTCACCTTCTCTGCGAGGGGAAGGTCGCCTTGGGGCCTGGGACGGAGGATCAGGGTGGGCAGAGGGAGGGCAACCTGTGTGGTGGGAAGCTGGCCCAGAGGTAGTCACCCTTTTAAGGTATTTTGATGTTGGGGTCACACCTGACAGTGCTCAAGGATCCAGTGGAGGGGGCACAGCAGCCCCAGGTGGGCCAGCCACCGGCAGCAGGGGCAGCCCGTTGGGGTGCTTAGTCCAGCCGGACAGTTGCCAGCAGGCGTGTGTGCGTGTGTGGGGACTCACCAGGGAGGGGCAGTGTGTGCCCCTGTGTGGGCAAGGCTAACACCACGACAGGCTGTAGCCGACATTGAGTCTCAGCCAGGCCTCAGCTCTGCTTCCCGAAGGCAGGACTTGCACTTGCTGGTAAACTCCCAGTCGGGTAATCCACCTAGATAAGGAACTGGGCAGCTGGATCTGGCCGGTCATGAGGGGTCACCGCAGCCTTCTTGGAAAGACCCCCAACCGTGACTGGGACCTGCTGTCTGTACCTGCTGTCTGATGAGGACCACTGATGTAATAAGGCCAATGCTAAAGGTAGGCCAGAATATAAACCGCTCTTAACTCTGACCCCTGTATAAAGTGCTTGTGGTCTGGGTCAGGGTCCTTGTCGGGACACCACTGCGTGGGAGGAGACTTGGTTGGACCCGAGCTCAGGCTAGCAATAAAGACCCTTTGCTTATCGCATCGCCACTTGTCTCCATGTGTCCCTCTGGGGAGATCTCGGCCCGTTGATAGCGCTGGCCTCCAGAGAGGCTGCTGACCACTACCACAGACTCGCCAGGATCAAAGGCTCGGCCGGCCAGAGGAGCGGCAGGAATAGCACCAGCCACGGCCACTCTGCAAGGGCTAAACACCAGAGCGTGCCGTCCTCCAACAGCCCGAGATGAGAGGGTGTGGCTGGGGGCTGCAGGGGATGAGAGTTTCAAAGCTGCTGAGACACGGCCTGTGGGGGACACGAGTCAGGGCTGGTGGGCTCGGCCCAGGCAGCACGTGGCATCTAGAGGCAGTGCAAGGTCCCTGTGGTCAGTGGTGCTCAGTCGTCTCCCCACCTGCTTCTCCAGACCGACAGAGCCCAGGGCACGTGGACAGGGCACTCAGAGATGCAGAGCTGACCAAGCCCGGGCTTCTCAGGGGAACCTCGTCCACCTCACGAGGGCCGCTAGGCTCACAGATTGGCCAGTGCCCCCCGCGGGACTGTGAGGCAGAGATCTCACCACTGACCTCTGACCGCACCGAGAGCAGGGCCTGAGCAGGAATGCCACAGGTCAGGGGCACTGCCCTCCCGGGCCAGGGAATCTCTGCCTGTGGGCGGCTGCCCGTGTTAGGCCCTGGACATGCCTGACTGGATATGCCGGTCACTCTCCTCCACAGCAGCCCAGGGGAGCTCTCTGGGGCAGTGGCGGGCAGGGGCACTTCTTCTTTCCGAAGGGGCAGGGAAAGCCGGGCAGAGGAAGGCGTGGAGACAGAAACCAGGACCTGGCAGCCGCCAGGTTCCGAGCCCAGCGCAGGCTGCGACCACCAGTGTGGAGGACACACGTGGCTGTGGGCTAGCTCTCGCCCTCCAGGAGCCATCGGCACACTTCAGGGGAGACATGAGGGCACAGGATTGGCCGCCAAGCCCCATGGTCTTCCGGGACTGGAAGGGGCAGTCCAGACCCCGGAGGCAGCCCCCGCCCCGTCCCTGCATGCACAAGGGCCAAGACCCCTTTGGGAGACAGGCTGTCTGTCTGCTGTCCGCCAGCTTCCCGGGTGCATGTTTAGGACACTCAGCCTACATGGCTCAGGGCGCAGTGCTATTCCCAGCAGGACTTCCTCGCCGGCGTCTGAGCTGCCCACCTGCAGCCCACGTACCCCCCACCCCCATGGCCACGCTCCACTGATGGAACTCAGGGCGGTCTCCTTTGGGGGTGGCTCCTTCCTTTGTTTCTGCACTCCCTCAGCGGAAAGACCAGCTTGGCCTCTGCTTGGCTCGTTCCACCTGGCGGAGTTTCCTAAGGGTCTGCTGCTCCGCAGGTTCCCTCTCACCAGGCGTGGTGGAGACACGCTGCCCCCTCAAGCTCCGAGGGACAGTGCCCACGACCGCAAATACCGACCGTCGACGATTCAAATTCAGACCAGTCTGCAGCCTGAGTTACCTGGCCACTTCATGCTTATACCTGTTCATGGTCGTTTCATGGATGCATTAGTTTATAGCCGTTATAATCATTTTACTCAGTTCTACTGGAAATGACTAACAAAACTGTTCACAGTTGCAGTGAGTGTTCCTTCGAGGATGCGTCTGTTGGTACATACTTATTCCATTTTAAGGGCAGACCCGCTGTCTCACTATCAAAAGTCCTCAGACCAATAAGCATCGCTTACTATAGTTATATTTATGACTGAGGACGTTTGGGGGATACCAGTGAATTCCATCTTTTTGGTCTTAAGCCTTTATCTTTTGCCCGCCCACCTGCTCAATCCATTCCATTTTCCCAGCAATATCCTGATGCTCTTGGTGGACAGTCACTGTAACCACGACTGTCACCACACACCAAAGGTCTCTACCACTGTCCTTCCACCACTTCCGCTCCCCTCATCCTCCTCCCGCCCACCCACGGGCCAGCAGCCTCGGCTCTGAATCCAAGATAAAACCCGGAGTATCCTGGGCACAGCCTGTAGGCTTCGGGGGGTTTCCTCCTGTCAGATTCTGGCTGAAGCAGGAAGAAGTGCAACCCTGCGTGGGTAGCAGGATGATTTGCCGTGTCCCTCCGACTCCCAGTCTGGTGGACAGGGGTGCTGGCTATCGACCCCACCAGGGAAGCTGCTTCAGGGGCCTTCAGGAGTGATGTTGAACACGTCCTTCTCATGCGTCCAAGTCTTCACACCTTTGCCAACACACCACAGGGGAGCCGGCCCGAGAGACCCTGTACTGCAGCCGTTGCTACTGCCCCAAAGGACACCCTGGCTCTCACCGGGAGAGCCCGTGTGGCCTCCGCAAGAGGCCCGGAGTGTCGCAAGCACAGTCTCGCCCGAGACTCAGCCCACGCCCTTTCCCACAAACAGCACACAAGCGTGGAAGATAGTTTAAAAATTGTATTCAACTTTTCACACCAAAGGAGATCCGTTAAAATTATGAACATCTCTGAATATATTTCATGTATCATACATATATATATACTTTATATGTATAATTACATATCAACAGAAGATTTCTTGCTGCTCTAAGCATGTAATGGAAACAAGGAATCCGCAATCTAACACCCAATATGCATATACACCAGCTGCTTTGCGTTATGAAGTTATTTACAACTTACCTATGTTATAATAAATGATTACTGTTCTATTGTACAAACATAACAATAAAGGTTTCTTTTAAATACAAAGACTGCAAATGAATACATGAAAAATTACACACATGTACAATATTTATAATTTATAAATGCAAAGTTAAGACCTCTTTAAATTATTGCACTTGCGCAGTTTACAAAGATCTTTAAGTTATACATATAAAACAAAATTTGTTTTAATTTACTAACTCATCAGCTAGAGTGAAGTTGGATATTGTTGACTTGAAATTCTTTCTCCTTCGCAAAGAGAGCTGACGACACCTTTGGATACAGATCCACTGACTCTGAAAACCAGCTGATTAGGACGGGAGTGGCGTGGAATGCCCAGGGCAAGCTGGCTACACTCCACACGTTCCCGGCGCCAAGAAGATCATCCCGCCGGCACAGAAAGACGCCTGCCCTAGGAGGGGAGGAAGAAGGGTCTCCTCCTCTGCGTTCACTTGCACCTGTTCTGCTCGGCAAGAATCTCAAGGCTGCCTCACTCCATGTTTTGGTGACTGTTTCACAGTGTTTGGGACAAGGACGTGATTGGAAACAGGTCAGTGCGCTGGGCCGGGGAGCAGGACGGTGTGGAGAGACACGGAGCGTTCTGCTATCCTTGCAAGGTCACGCAGGTGACACTACGCAGAACGCACCCCACACCACAGGCCAGACAGAGGGTGTTTCCTGCTGTTCGCACGGGCTGTTGGTGACATGCCACGAAACCACACGCTCAGAGACTCACGGCAACAGCAAGAGTTGCAACGCCTGTGGTCTGAGGTTTCAGGAGGGACGGGGCACTCGCTAAACACCTTCCCCACTTTGTCTGAACAAACACTCCTTCTCTTCACCTTCTGCGAGAGCCACACGGGACCATGAATTAAAGAGCCCCGACTGTCAGCTGACCTGTGCCCGGCTCATTGGATGCGGCTCTTGTTTTCTGAGGTTGCAGTTTCCCTGTCCAGAGGAGACACTGCTCTTTCCCACAGAGCCCGGCTCCCTTCCACCTGCCGTGGGCGGGCAGGCCCGGACACTCGCTCGCTCCTGCTGGCTGTGCGGCCGAGAAGGCAAACAGAGGACTGGTACGTCGCGAGCAATGCTGCTGGGATTTTAAGCCTGTCTCTCGGAAAACACAAAGGAATTTCATACTTCCCATCTTTTAAAAATGATAACTAGAACATAATTGATCATTTTTTGTTTCATTTTTGCTACTTCTACTATCGCATAAATGCATCTAGTGCTTTACACAATCAAACTATCCAGTGGAGGAGAAAAAAGACAAAAAAAGAAAAAAAAACCGACACCCCAAAAGCCAAAAGTAGAAGTACTGTAGTAGGGGTATCACTAATTCCAACTTAGATGTTTAAAGAAAAATCAGAAAAACGTACATCAGGGCAAATACTTAGGCGAATATAAAAGTCTCAAGGCCATGCGCCACTGACAGACAGAAAGCAGCCACTGAGCACTAATCACGGTCAGCCACGTGGTTTAAAAATCAGAGTAATATTGGCAACCGCAGGATATACTAAAATGCCTAAATGAATATTTCTCAAAGAATTAAACCCTAACTCAAATCAACAAAGGAGAGAAGTGAATGCCTGAAAAAGATAAGAAGAAAGTGATTTCAAAATCTAAATCATGCATATGTATCTGAAACCCAACAAAACCACATCATAATCAGTGGAAGTTCTTGGAAGTTCTTGCAGCGGGGGCGGGGGTGGGGGGAGACTAAACGTGAGCATTTCGTTGGTTATATGGTGATTGGGACGTATGTGAATGGAATGAAGGATACAAACTGATGGAGAATGGTCTTATTCATTATTCATTCACCTCAATAAAACTAATCATGGGCATATCCCTTTAGATGCTTTACTCACAGTTCAGGAGAGAGGGATCAGGGACATATGATCAAAGGAGGAGGATTACAGTCGTTGAAATAAAGGCACAGGCCGAGGCATGGCAGAGCATTCAGGTCTATTAAAGCTCAAACCTTAATTCTGAGTCGAAAGACCAGAAACATAAATACTCAAAACTAATGCTATGTTTTAAAATTCGGATAAATAAGGATGTATGCGTCTATGTGTAATTTACAAATGTACCTGGCGGGCTCCCACGGAGTACTAAAGCCAAGTTCCCCAGGAAGAACTGAGCCAAAGGAAGTCGTATGAGCATGCTGGGGGTAGGGGGGGTCGGAAAACCTACACGGGACCGTCCACTTTCAAATCGGTTCATGTTGCTGCGAGAACATTCTGCGTGGTGTACCAGCACGTTTGCCTCTGCCGAAGCAGGCCACTAGGAACCAGGAGCAGTGTCTTGACCCACCTGCTCCCGTTCCCAGGACTAACCACGACTGAGCAGCGGGCCCCACTCGCTCCCGGGCTCAAAACCGCCACGTCGGCCTCTTCCCCATAGCTTTGTGTCTCTTCTCAAGTTTTCCTAGGAGTTAATTTCCACAGTGCACTGCTAATTCATTAGTTGATTTTGCCTTTTTTAGGAATCTTATTTCCCTGCCCGAGGCTCAATGTGATGTTGTTGGCATGTGCTTCCAAGAAAATGTCTACTGGAAAATTATATCCACCATTCTGAAACATAATAGAACTGCATTTGACAAAAAAATATTACATCAGAACAGGGTATATCACAAATCAGTATAATCAATGGCAATTTCTGCTACTCGAGCATTCTTCATCCTCAGAGCTTCTTCCTAAATTTATACTCAAAAGGGAAAATGGGGTTCTAAATACCACACCACCTTCATGAGAAACCCATCACAACTTTTGGCCATACAAAAGCCACCTGCCCCTTTGAGAAAAGACTTGGGGAACAGAATAGAACTCAAGCGTTTGTGAAATTTACCTGCCAAAATACAAAGATGCACCAAAGTATGTTTTTCCCCCCAAACGTACTCTCACTGTGACCCAGAGTCAGGTCAGATCTGGCGCATCTGCGACACCTCCCAAGCCTCACTCACGGCCGACACCGCAGCCACTGTTCGTGTCTGCACAGAGCCCTTTGCTCCCACGAGCGTCTGCTAAAGTTGATCAAGAAACCAAAGAGCCAATCCAGGTGTACACATTTCTCTGGGAAGCCGCTCAAAGCACAGGTCACAGGACACGGAGCACCTGGCTATATCGAAATGAGAGAATTTTCTGCGATCAAAATGACAACCTTAAGATGCAAGAATGGCCAGTGCATTCCCAGGTCTTTCCAGGTCAAGAAAAGTAATTCACGCATTTTAAAAATATCCTTTTACTTCAATGCGATTTTAAATATGATCCCTTGCCCCCTCGCGATACAGGCTTCTGGTGGAGGGCGAGGGCTAGATTACATACAAGGGGGTGCAGGGTCATAAAAATACGCAACCTCTGAGAATCCATTTCTGTGACTGCGCCAACATACAAGGACACGTTCTAGGCAGATTTCTGGCCAAGCACTATACATATTCCAACATGAAAAATCAGCTTTTGGAGAATGGGCATGAGTGTGTGTGTGTGTGTGTGTGTGTGTGTGTGTGTGAGAGAGAGAGAGAGAGAGAGAGAGATTTCTTTTCCCCCCTCATCTATGTGTCTGCATGCATGTGTCTATTGACATACATGCAGATGCATGTACACTTACATATGTGTGTGGTTCTAGCACACTGGTATTTCTGTCTCCTTATCAAGTTCACACTATCCCTATTGTCTACTACAATAGCAAGTAGAGCCCCAAGCAGAAAAGCGGAAACTCTCAGGAGCCTGCCGGGCAACAACACTGCCAGTTCACAGATGAGAATAGTGTTTCCATAGAACCACGTTGCCACAACATAAATGACCATGTTGCAGAAACATCTGATTTTTTTATTTTTCTTCTAGACCCAAACTCCTGTGTCGAAAACTGCACAGAGTGCTGAGTCTGTAGAGCAGCGTTTTCAGCTTCATTAAGTGGAATATTCTCGCTCCTTGTGACCCCGAGAGCGGGGAAGCCACTGTGGGGACTGGCCACTTCCTCTATGTCACTTCCTGTCCCTTCCCGTCCAGGCCAGAATCACAGGCCTGGAGTGTCTGGATTGTCATGCTGAAATCCACGACACATGAACACGCAAAGGAAGTGACAGGGAGGTGATAGGAAGTGACAGGGCTCTGAGCCTTATCCAAAGGGGTCCAGGATTTTGTATGTTTTTCCAAAACATCCCGGGTCGGGGAGGCAGGAGACAGGATGGAGACAGGGAGGAGACAGATAGGAGACAGGACCTGGATGAAACTGCCCTGTGTCCTAACACTGCTTCCTACATCCCCCCAGGAAGCTCGTGACAAGGGACCGAGAGGTGCCGGGACAAAGGTGAACGTGGCCCTGGAGGTTACAGAGGACTTTGGCAGGGGTGGCTGGATTTGAATTTCCAAGAAACGTGAGTTGTTTAATGAAAGAATTCATGGGATGCACCTCTCATCTCATTCTGCTTGTGACCCTGAAGTGCCACGGTGCTGAAAACAGAAAGGAATCGTTCTTAAAACTCGCATTTCACAGCCCTAAGACTGATCCATCAAAACAAATTCCAGCTAGCTTTGCTCTTTAGGCAAAGGTTTTAGTGAATCTGCCAGTGCTACGGTGAGGAAGACTTCTTAGCTGTTCTCTGACATCCAGGCCTGGCACTGGGAGCTCGGAGACTCCGGGTGCATCCCCGCGGCCCTGTCGGGGCAGGGCCCACTTCCCTTCACGTTACACTGTCCTTCTACGCCCTGTGGAATAAACTTCCGGATACACTTTAGTCCACCCAGCTTTAATTCAGGAAGCTCTGAACACGATCCGGACTCCATCACTGCCCGCAGAGGGGCTGGCGGAGGCAGCTGGGCTCCAGCAGGAGACCGCCCACCACGGTAACACCACAAGGAGGTCACACACAGACATTCACAATAGCCATATGCAAAATTCCTATTTATAACCAACAACATCCAAGCAACATTGGTGTCAAAGCCAAAACACAACGTCCTACTAGTACCATGTCCGACCCTCGCAGGAAGATCCAGGGGCAAGTGCCCGCTGCGGAGACTGTCCATTTCGTGACGGCCTCAGCACTGCCTGTCGGGAGGGGAGGCCAGGGCGCGGGCCCGCTGGGTCCCGGGGCAGCTGGGGTCCGGCCGTGCTGTCCCAACAGGCCCGTCTGACGCGCCGCGGGCCGGGCCGCCGGCCCCTGCGGGAACATGCGCCCAGGGGCCTTGGAGAAGTCCGCGTCCCGGGTGCCGAGTGTAGGTTTCCCCGCGAAAGGAAAAGGATGGCGGTTGAGACGGGCACGGTGGGCGCCGGCCCTGCGCCGTCAGTCCTCCAGCTTCGGGGCGTCGGGGGCCTCGTCCACGGGCGCCGCCGAGATCCAGAGCGCGCTCTCCTCCCCGCGCATCACCTTCTCCCACTGGCTGAGGTTATTCCTAGGGCAGAAGCCGCGGTGAGCACAGGGCCGGAGCGTGTCCAGGGCAGAGGCCTCGCACCTGCGGGCTCTGTGCCCCCCGCCCAGAGCCAGGCCCAGGTGGGCAGGGAGGGCAGGGGGGCGACCCGAGACCCACGCTCTCCCCCGCGCCTGCACTGGATCCCACCGAGCTTCCTGCGGGGAAGCCGGGTGTGTGCCCGGAGACTGACCCCACACTGGCCTCCTGCTCCCCAACCCCTCGAGTTCTCGCTCACTGCCCGCCTGACTCGAGTCCCCAAGTGCTCGCTCCTCCCCGCCCCTGGGTGATGCCACTGCGCCTGGCCCAGCCCAGCTGACCAGGCCGTCGGCTTTTCTCCCCAATACCAGGTGCAGAACAGGGCCCTGCCAGTGGGCAGTGCCACTCTCAGGCCAAGCACACCAGGAGACGTCTGTGGGGAAAGAAATCCTGGAGATGGCACAAACTTGCCGTGCTTTATTATTATTTATTTATTATTATTTTTTGCCTTTTAAGAAGACTATATTATTAAGCATCATGTTCTCAGAACCAAAGGTCATTCTTTTTACCAAAAACTAAAAAACTAAAACAACCAAAACACTAAAAGAATCAAGGATACTTGGGGCTGAAGCGATAGCACAGTGGGTAGTGCGTTTGCCTTGCACGTGGCTGACCCGGGTTCGATTCCCAGCATCCCATATGGTCCCCCAAGCACTGCCAGGAGTAATTCCTGAGTGTAGAATCAGGGGTTATCCCTGAGCATCGCCGGGTGTGACCCAAAAAGAAAAAAAATATTAAGAGAATCAAAATTACAGGGGCCAGGCACATGTGCTAGGTGAGAAGGAAGCTCAGATAGAGAAGAGAGCACCAAATAAAGGGTGTTGTGAAGACCCTCCCAGGGTGGGAGAGACATGCTAAAAGTGGTCTATAGACCAAACATGACTGCCACTCAATGCCTCTCTGGCAAAACACAGTACCCAAAAGAAGAGAGAGAGAACAGGGAGGAATGCCCTGCCACAGCGGCAGGGTGGGACGGGGGGGGGGGGGGGGGGATGGGGGGTGGGAGGGATGCTAGGACCCGTGGTGGGGGAGGATGGGCACTGGTGGAGGGATGGGTACTTGATCATTGTATAACTGAAACCCAAGCACAAAAATTTATAAGTCTATAAGTGTACTTCATGGTGTTTCACTAATAAAAAAAAATGATAAAAAAAAAATTACAGGGGCCAGGGAGACAGCAAGGAGGGTGGGGCCCAGCCTGGCACCCATCCCATCAAACACCCCACTCCGAGGTGCTGTAGCCCCTTAGGCCTCTGTTACCCCAACAGCAGCCCCTCGTGTGACTGAGCCAAGCGGCTCCCAGGCACCCAGACCCCGGCCTGCCCGTCCCTGCTCTCTGCTGCCCCTCCAGACAACGTGACCTCTGCAAAGGGAAGTGACCCAGGCTCCCCGGAAGGGGGCAGCTGGGGGACTCTGAAGCCAGGACAGCCAACACGCAGCTTAAACTCCCCCGGGAAGAGGGGAAGCCGGAGAGAACAAGGGGTCCCCGATCAAGTCCCCTTGCACGTGCCCCGGCCCAGGCCCCTCCAGCCAGCAGCGGGTGGCCTGTCTGCAGCGGGGACGACAGCTTCGTGTGACCTGGGCCCGCACACACGGGCGTCCAGGGCGGCGGGCACCTACCTGCAGGCCTGGAGGAGTGGCTCCGTGGGCGGGAAGATCTGCGTGAGGGTGGTGTAGCAGGGGATGGCCACGGCGTTGTAGAATCCGAGCTGCCGTGCCAGACGGGGGAGAGACAGAACGCAAATCAGCCTGGGCCTGCCTGGCGTCTCGCAAGCCCAGGACGTCACACCTGCCCTGTCGCTACGGGGGGACACTTGGGCTCATCACCGAGGAAAGCCACCACAGAGTACCTTTTAACATGCGTCAAGCGGTCAAATACATTTTAAAAGGAAAAGCATTTTTAAGATGCATCAGAACAATAGCACTCCCCCAACATCAACACTTGGTGGCAATCTTACAGATGCCGGGCGCCACATTCTGCCTTTGACACGGCTCATACACAGGCTCCGTGCGGAGCAGGTTTCAAAACGTGCTTTACTCTTACGGCAGAGGCCAGCTTCACAGGGACCAGAACTCGGGAGGAACGCGGTCCCTAGGGTGTTGGCTGGTCCCAGGCATGTATCGCTCTTTCCTTCTGTAAATGGATCTAAACTTTTGGCACAAGCAATAACAATCGATTCTGGTCATTAAGTCCATTAGCACAGAGCCTGCCCTCGGCAATAGAGTCAGCTCTCCTCCGGGTGTCCACGGGGAAGGGGGGAGGGTTCCCCCAGGAAGGAGGGTGCTGACAGTCAGACAGCAACGTAAGTGCAAAGCAAGTCACACGTTTAGCGTGAGGTGATGAGCCGGAAAGGAACTAAAGCAAACAGTCAGGCATAATTCTTAGAACCGTCGGCGGAAGCTGGCCTTTCCCATACCCCGGGGAAGCAGACTAGCTGGACAGAATGTCGCGGCGACATAAAAGGGAAGGCGCTGGAAATCCTTCGAGCCAGCAACTACACTGTGAGGGGAGAATGGACAGCCGGCCCCGCGCTGAGGATGGGAGCACAGTCACGGGCCAGAGAGGCATCTTGGGGCCGCACTGCCCTGTCCCTCCTGCCGAGTCACAGCAATGGACTGAAATCAAGTGGGAAACTTGAGAATCTGTCAAACTGCAAGATCCTGTGATTTGGGGGAATCCTTTTCTAAAGTAAATTCTGTATTATAATGATTTGTCCTTAACATCCTTCCTTATTATAATTCAAGACTATTGCCAATCTCAGAAGACCTCCATCTATGAAATATTTCACACTATCCATGGAAACCAGAAATTGTATATGAGGATCGAGAAAAAAATGCTAATTCATAGTGAGCCATAGTTCAGTGTGTACTAAAATATTATATAGTGCTTGTTAGGAAACATGCATTTCATCAAAATCTATAGCGTTCATTTCCAGGAAACATCTTTGTATATTCAATGACGCAACCTTTCTTGTTAAAAATTAATAATCTATGGGCTGGAGAGTGTTTGCCCTCACGAGGCCAACCTGAGTTCAACCCCCAGAATCCCATATGGTCCCCCGAGCACTACCAGGAGTGATTCCTGAGTGCAGAGCCTGGAGTAACCCCTGAGCATCGCTGGGTGTGACCCAAAAAGACAAAAACAACAACAACAATTATTTAAATTCATCTACTTTTTTCAAGTCAGAGGGACCCTCCCTGTTCTCTGAAGACACATCTGCCAGAAGTAGGGGCCAGCAAGTGAGTGGAGCACTCTTGATATTTGAATTTACTTTGTGGGCATCAAGCCACACCTGGCAGTGCCCAGAGTTTACTCCTGGCTCTGCATTCAGGGATCACTTCTGGTGGGGACAACGTGGGATGTCAGGGATTGAACCCAGGCTGTCCACGTGCAAGGCCAGCACCTTCCCCTCCGGCTGTCCCCCCAGCTGAGTTCACTTTACTCCAGGGTTTCCTCAGCTTTGTCTGACTACTCTCAGTGGCACCAAATGTGGAAAGTACTTGAGCTCCAGGGGTTCAAGCTCAGGCCACTGGCCACTCGACCCTTTCTGAGTAAAATACACCTCTATACTCAAGGTGCCAGGGCTGGACATATCGGGCTGCTTACTATTGACCCTTACACCCAATGATGACGCCAAGCCTGCTCTGGGGCGAGGGAGCCTCCCTGGGATTCTCAGGGGCCCTGGGGCCACTCCTGGTCAACCTGGCTGCACGGTCCAGTGCTAGAGCTGCCGGCAATCACTAAGCAGGGGATCCAGTCCAAGGATTCCTTCTAGCATATAAATATAGGTATGAAGCTACTATCCAAGGCCAGGGAAAATGGGCCAGGAGGACTGGTCAATGGTTAGAAGTTTGTCACAAGTGTTTGGGGGAGGGAGGGCAGTTAGGACAGAGAAGGGATCAGTATGACGCTCAGAGTTGGAAATGATCCCTTTGGACAGGAACTGAGCGCTGAAAGTAGGCAAAGGGATATACATGGAGACCTTTCAGTATCTGTAATGCAAGCCATAATGCACAAAAGAAGACAGAGAAAGAGAGAGAGAGAGAGAGAGAGAGAGAGAGAGAGAGAGAGAGAGAGAATAGTGCCTGCCATAGAGGCAGTGATGAGTGAGGCGGGAGGAAACGGGGGACACTGGTGGTGGGGAATGTGCACTGGTGAAGGGACGGGTACTGGAACATTGTGAGACTGAATCCCAATCATGGACAGCTTTGTAACTATCTATCTCACTTTGATTCAATTAAACAGAAATCGAACATACTTTTCCATCAGTACAAGCAAGAAATCTCCATAGGTCTCAGCATCGATTACCGAGTAGGGACGAAAGAACCATCATCTCAAACACAAACCCAGACTCGGCGACACCTGCACACGTGGATTCGGTTTCATGGCCCAGCTCTCACCTGGCCTTGCGGGACTTCTCCCCTCTTGTCTCTGTCCATCATCGGGATGGGCTGTAACCCCAACTTCTTCATCTCATCACCCTGGGAGGGATGGCAGAGGGGGGTGGGGGAGGGAAGGTTAGGCCCTTACTTACAGAACAATCACAGTTCCAAAGAGAAGCTATTTCTGATCACTGAGATGATCCCATCAGAGCACAGATGATGAGAGTTCTCCACGTTTGCTTCGTGAGAGGAAAGAAGGAACCTGGCACCGCTGCCCACACGTTTCACGCGGCACGCTGGCAGCTGAATGGGCCACTGGCCTATTTACACAATCTGACGTCTGCGCCAGATGGCAATCCTCAGGGATCTGTGACTAGAAGCGTGTCTCACACAGGAGGTGGGGAGCCCCACTGCTAGCCTTCCGGTGCCCCCTTGACGTAGCTCGTTGCCTGGCTGTGTTCCGTGAGTGAACAGAGCACTGGCTGTTGGGTCAGGGGCGGTGCCGGTGCCAGTCAGGCCTGAGTTCACGAGTCGCTGAGAGCAAAGGACTCACAAGCACACGGCAACAAGTGACACAACCACTCTGCCCGTGGGGCTGGGCCTAGTTCCCCGGGTATGGGGCAGAGTAAACTACCAAGATGTTATTAAATCACCCAGTTATTTCATTTCACCTAGAATCCCCCCCCCCCCATTTCTCGATACCGCCCGTGTTTCTAGAAAGCTCAAGAGCTTACCTCAGCCCAGAACTCCGCATAGATGTCATTGGCCGTCAGCTTGGTGACCGGCCACAGCTTGGTCACGGAGCACAGGTCACAGGCGGTCATCATCAGGCCGATGACACGGTCTCTGCAACACAGAAACATGGCACGCTCAGCACTGCTCTGTCCTTCGGCGCCAAGGTGGGCCGGGACGTTGGCATCGTCCCGCTGGACGGTGAGAGTCCCAGGCAGGGATGGGGCAGAGGGTCTAGCCAGCCCGGAGAGGACGCAGCCGTGAGGGCTGAGTGGACACGGGTCCCGCGACACCGTGGCTGCGGGTGTGGCCCAAATCTAAGCCAGGCCTAGACTTTTATTCTCAGGGGATTTGGGAAATTCAGAGTAGGGAGACATCCTGGAGAAATAATCCATCCCAGCCCTTTCATTTCACACAGGGAAAATAAAATTCACAGTTGCAAGGAAGCGCAGTGACGCCCCCCACACTGGTCAGGCTCCCCTGCTCCCCGGCAACCACCTCAGGCTTCTCTGCCCCCAGGCTGCGGTCATGGCCCTGGGCTGTGGGCCTGACCTCGTCCCCCCCCCAAGACGACCCAGCTGTCCTCCCTCTCCATCCCCGCCTGTAGCTGGCCCCGTCCTGCCCTGGCCGGGCTCTGTCCCCGCCAAGGGACATGCACGCCCAGCTCTGCTCTGTCCCAGATGCTGCTCCCGGTGCCAAGGAGCCCTGGGCCTGGGGACTGTCACAGCCTCAGCTCTGTCCACGGTCTCTGCCGCACATCCCGAGCCCAGCTACTGGGACAGATGCCAGAGCAGGCCGAGGAGGTGCACACAGATGCCGCCTTTAAACCCACAGTCCCGAAGTCACCGGGGAACTCGAACTTTCCTCAAGGAGGTGATTTCCTAGGAGAAGGTGCGGTTGTCATTTAATGGAAAAAATAAAGATTTAGTTCTGGTTTGCGGTAGCTGTTAGAAAAGACGAAGTCATGAAATTTACATATAAGTGGTACTACATGGAAAGTATCATGTTAAGCGAAATGAGTCAGAAAAAGAGGGATAAACATAGAAATATTGCATTCACCTGGGGAACATAAAGTAACCAAATAGGAGACTAACACCCAAAAATAGCCGAGATAAGTATCAGGAGGTTTACTCCATGGCTTGGAGGCCAACCACACATGCTAGGGGAAAGGGAGCTCAGATAGAGAAGGGAGCACCAAATAAAGAGTGTTGGGAGGATCCTCTAAGGATGGGAGAAGCATGCTGAGAGTAGACTATAGACCGAACATGATTGCCACTCAATGCCCTTTTGCAAACGACAGCACCCAAAAGGAGAGAGAGAACAAAAGGGAACGCCCTGCCACAGAGGCAGGGGGGGATGGGGGATGGGGGATGGGAGGGATACTGGGACCCATGATGGTGGAAAATGGGCACTGGTGGAGGGATGGGTACTTGATCATTGTGTAATTGAAACCCAAGCACAAAAATTTGTAAGTCTACAACTGTACCTCATGGTGTTTCACTAATAAATTTTTTTTAAAAAAAGGAACAAGCACGTTATTTCTGAGTTTGGCTGGTATAATGCAAAACACCATTTACCCTATTTACAATAATTATTTCACTTTGAAATATGTCAATCTCATCCCATCTATATTTACCCCAGAAAATCACCAATGTTCATTTCTCTTGGTGAAATATTCTAGTAAGGGAGCAGGAGGGATGGGACAGAGAGTAGGGCGTTTGCTTTTCATGCTGCCGACCAAAGTTCAATCCCTGGCACCCAAAATGGTCCCTTAGCTCCACCAGGAGTGATCCCTGAGCACAGAGTCGGGAGTGAGCCCTGAGTACCACGAGGTGTGGCCCCAAACCATAAAAAAACAAAAACAAAAACGACAAAAAAGAATAAGCTTTTTCTCAAAAATAATTTTTAGCGCTATAACTCCGTGAAACAAAAAGAATGTAGCTAGAATCAGACGCTTGTTCCTATATGGACGTGGGTAAAACCCAAACACCAACGTTCTTCCTGGACGCAATTCCCCTGTGGGTGTAGCCACTGAAGTGAACACAATTATCGGCAGTGGTCGCTAATCTCACTGAGAAAATGATTTCTCTGGGGGCAGTGGTACCCAAGCTTGTTCCTGGCTCTGCACTAGGGTCCATTTCTCGTAGGGTCCGTGTGGCCCCGTGACCCCAGCACCCCGCCCACTGCCCTGCTGCTCCCGGCCCTGTGTAGGCAAAAGTCTCCGCTGTAGGCATTTGTCAGGCATAGATGAGTAAGTCAAAAGAACAACATTTGTACCCCACACCTTTAATGAAGGCAGCAGTCCACATTTTCTACTGGGTGGAAAATCGTTTACGTGGCCTTGGCCTTTCAGGCAAAGCAGCCGGAATGACAGACACTTTATTTCTCTGTATGGACCTCCTGGGTAGGACAGAGCTTCAGGAGGCATTTGAAGAACCTGCTCGGAGTGTTCTGGGATGGTCTCCCGTGTCCCCGTCACCCAGGCATAGAAGTGCCTCCTGCCGTGGCCGTGATAGACGCCAACACACAGCCCCTCACACACTCCCACGCCTCTGCAGACATGCTGCGAGGCCCGTGTGTGCCACCACTGCCCTGGCGATGAGCAAACCAGATGCCAACCTTGTAGCAGCAATTCACTCCAGTGGCAGAAGCTGAAAACACCCTGGCAGAGGATTCCCCACCCAAGCCGGTGTGGAGGAAACGGAGCCACAGAGCCTCAGCTCAGACAGCAGGAGGACAAGGGAGGCACCTCGAGGCATCAAGGGGCAAGAGAGCCAGCCAATCTGTCTCACACGGTGGGAAGGGGGTGGGGACCACCAATGGGGAGCTGCCTTTGTCCCACATCTGATGGCAAAGTACTGGGAAGGGGAAGACGACCAGGACACGGGGCCACAGTCACTGCAGCAGTCACTCAGCTAGACAGCCCAGATGAGAGGGACCGCACCTTAATGCGGGGGTGGAGGACACCGGGAGGTTCATGGGTATGAACCCCACAGAGCCTCTCTTTCCCACACACCCACATGCACACACACGCACACACATGCATGCACACACATGCGCCCTAGTGTGAATCTCACACCTGTGCACACTTGCAGTCCTTCCCTCCTGACCCCTTAGATCCCATAGACACAGGGTCCCACTGCAGAGCCGCAACAGGAACAGTCAGCCGGCCTGAGCCCTGGGCAGAGACACTCCCAACACACACATACACACACACACACACACACACACACACACACACACACACACACACACCACCGATATCCTCTATCCGTGAAGACAGACAGAGTCAAGCCTTGAGTGACCAAAACTCAAACTCAGGCTCTCTGGTTCTCCAGGCTTCACCTGAGAACACACTGGGCAGAGGTGAGGAGGGGAGGGGCTGGAGTCACTCCACAGGGAAGAAACCACGCCACTCACATCCCAAGGCCTTCGGGGGGAATCTCAGTGCAGACCTGCTCCCAGACCCCAAGTGGCCGCCAGCAGGAGCCTGAAGAGACCTCGAAATATCCAGGCTGACGAAGGTCACTTACGGACTGGCACGCCTTGATCCTGAAAATCCTGCATATTTTAAGGGGAAATTCAGAATCGAGATGAACTTCCCAGCAGAATTCCCACTGGAACCACCAAAGAAGGCAGGAAAAACCAGACCTATCACCTCCTCATCGATGCCAACAGCAAGTCTGCCAGGAATTAGGGCTCAAACTGGAGGCCAGGAACCAAGACCAGCCAAGTCATCCAGTCCCCCCCGCCCCCGACCAGGGTCCACCCCCGCCTGGACACCCTCTGAGGCTGAGGCTCCGTGGCAGAGCATGTGTTTGGCAGGTACAAGGTTCTGGGCTGGGTCTTTGCACTAAAGCACACTAACTCCCCACTCATCTCTCCACCCTGTGGCCAGGAGCGGGGAAGAGACACAGAGACAGACAGAGAACACACAAAAACAGAGAAAAAACCTAAAAGATAAAACTAACAACAAGAGGAATGTATTAAAACAACAGGACGGGTATTAATGGAATGACCACTAATTACGTTAAATGCCATGATCTAAATATGCCAATTAAAAGAAGCGAAGAGATGCCATTGGGCTACACTAGCACGTGACAGGGACAAATGGAGACGTTACTGGCGCCCGCTCGAGCAAATCGACGACTAACGGGAAGTTAAGTGATTAAGTGATTAATCAAACAACAATACCCAACTATGTGGTGTCTATAAGTTTACATTATTAAAATTTTTTTTTAATTTTTGGGTCACACCAAATACCTGTGGCTTACTCCTGGCTCTGCATTCAGGGGTCACTTCTGGCCTGGCAGGGCTCAGTGACCACACGGGGTGATACAGACAGAAGCCAGGTCAACCATATATGCAAAGCAAGTACCCTAAATCTCTCCAGCTCCCCACAAAATCACTTCAAATATCATTACACAGAGATGAAAAGCCAATGGGTGGGTAAAGGGATTTCATGCTAACATTAATAAGAAAACGGGGGTAAGCTGGCCAGAGTGAAGGAGACCAGAATAAAGAACATTCCGCTTGAACACTCTCCGGGAAGACCTGCTGCTCCTCGATGTGCCGAACAGGACAGCATCAGCACAGGTGAGGCAAAACTGAAATGACATCAAGGATAAATAGCGGAATCCACTACTCTGGAGGAGACTTCAACATCCTCCAGTCATATAACGGGCAAGTCCACTGAGTATAAAATAAAAACATATTTGAACTCAGTATCTCAATTATTGACATCTTCTAGATTATACTTCATCCAACGGTAGAAGGAAATTTTTTCAAGTTTACATAGTACAATCACTAAATATTATAGATCATAAAATATACCCTTAAAATTAAGAAGAATATGAAACATACAATGCATACTTCCAGAGAGCAAGGACATGAAATACAGACCAATAATAGAAAAGCAGCTGGAAATTCCCATTAGCATTTAGAGATTAAATACTTGGACACATTTATAAATAGCACATAGTTCTCAAAGGAAATCAAGAAAAATTAAAACACTGAAAAAAAATTTTAAATGAAGATGCAACAAGAATATGAGATACAGTGAAAGCAATGATTAGAGGGAAGTTTATAGCATTAAGAGCACATCCAAGAAAAAA